TTGCAAGATTCAAGCATGTGTACACACCTGTATAGCATATATATATATACAGATGTAGATTGTACGATGAGATATGCTTTACGGATTATAGATGTTGGTTGTTAATGAACAAGGCCCCATCTCCATTCGTAGCGCCTCGCTCCCAGGTTCTTCCTTCCTACCGAGCGGCCTTTGAGCTGGTTTCAGCATGTGTCAAGGGCAGATGTCTGCTGATGTCAGATGTGAAGCTCGGCTGCACAGAGGGATGCTGAGGGATGCTGAGGGATGGCATGTGGCAAGAGTGCCGCTAGTGCCGCTAGTGGCTGAGGATGGACTCCTTGCACGGCAGGCCGGTGCCGATGTTGACGGCTGAAATATGCTGAAATGCTATAAGAGTCACAAGATGTCACAAGATGTCACAAGACTCTTCGGATTTTATGTCTTTCAGTTCATGCATTGATGAAACGATATCGCAGTTTGTGTGAGTGCCCGATTGTTCAAAAAGTAAAAAACAAAGCTCGTGGTGGGAGACACTGGAAGGATCTCCCTGCTTGCTCTGCTTGCTTTAAGCTCAAGTGGGGATGGAGACCCTTGAATTGTTTGCACAATGCGGCTACTTTCCATTCCTGGCCAGCGGCTATTTGGGCCATGGCTTGCAATCACTGCCGCTTGTTTCAAATGTATCAGGCGACACGGCGACATGACTTGAAGATTCGGCCAAGAGTGCCAAACACAGAGAAGCTGCGGGCACTCGCCCCATTCTTAGGTCATGGCGCAAGTGTCCTTTGCCATCAGAGATGACCATATTGGGACTGAGCTTGACTCCGAGAGTGGGCTCCAAAAGCAGACTTTGAACTTGAGCGTCACATCCGGCAGCAACAGAAGTTTCTCACTGCAGAAACTTGGCCAAAGTCATGCCAAATCCTTCTATCGGATTGGCCAAGTGATTCTCGGGGTGAGAACGGTTGAATCCGAGTGAATCGGAGTAAACGGTTTCTGGCCTTTCCTGACATGATCGAATCAGAGTTTTGGGCCACATGTTCCGCGCCAGGAAGAAGCGGGGAGAAGATGCTGACAGTGTGGATCCATTGACTCTCACTGTTGCAGTAGCGGAACAAAGCGTTTTGTACCTCGTCACATAAAAGCCGACTTTATGTTCACCATTCCATCAGTCTTTTTGATCTTGTTTGGTGTTCCTTGTCATGGAAGGGTCAGGTAATGTCAGGTATGATGGTGTAGAGTCATATGAATGTTCCGCATCGAGGACATTGGTCGAAACGCAGATTCGATTGAAAGCGGGTGGCGGCACTTGCCCTGAAGAAATCAAAATCCCTCCTACTCCTGGAGTGCAGCTGATGCCCGAGTGGTTTGAAACCCAGTCCCATGATGTCCTATGATGTCCCATGATGTCCCATGCAGTCTGACGACCACCGACCACGGACGGCACTTGGGCGACTCGGCCAGGCTTTATGGAGTCGGCTGTCGCCTGGACAAGGGCAAACTTTGCCACTGTCCCGGGAGTGTGTCGCCTGGATCAAGTGAGCACTGGGATATGTTGGGATATTTCATGACATATATAAGCATACATAAGCCGCGGATGTCATACACACACACACATATATATATATATACACATATTGGCTATTTATAGCTACATGTATGGTACAGTATGTAGCACACGATATGCCATGATACGCCACCCATCAATTGCTCTCGATCATTGACTGTCAGGTTCTACGGATGTCAAGTGTGCCTTGCCTTGAGTGCGTCCTGTTGGAGGAGCGCTTGCAGTGCCCCTTCGTCTTTGAGAATTTTCCAAGTTCTGAGGACTGGTATGTTTGGGCTTCCAGGCGGTCTCACCACCGTCTCTTGTCAGTATAGAAAAGTTGGACAGGCTTCAAGTGGAACTCTCAGATGTGAGCTTTGTGCATCCCAGGATGTCATCAAAAAGATGGGCTTCTGCCGAATCGAACCCTGGGTCTTCATCTTTCCATCAGAGCCTTGGTTGAAAGCTCTGGTTGAACATTAAGATGAAGAGAAAGGAAGAGAACAGCACAGCATGTGCCATTTGGCTCCGGCTCATATCCCGATTGATTCCAGCCTGTGCCTGTGCCGGTGCCAAGGTGGCATTGCTTGGCGCCATCATTTACTTCATGCCAGCTTCATCACGCCGGGTGACACGACTGCAAATCGCGGATCGCGGGATACCTTTCCACAAGTTGGTTTTGAAAAACACATGTGTTAGCTCCAAACACCTCCAAACTCACCTGTGAGGAAACCTCTCAAAGCCGGAATCGCAAGTCCAGTGGCAGTGGTGATGACTCTGATTGAGCCTTCTCGATGCACGACTTCCTGCTAGCTGCTAGCTGATCCTAGCCTACTTGCAGTGACGCTCCGCAGCCGTTTCACCTCTGCTTCAGAAAGAACCATCATGTATCATCCAGCTGCGTATGTCTGCATGTTTCGAGCAGCTTAGCAGCTAGCTCTGGATGGGAACGAAAAGAATTTGGCGCCGTTTTGGTTGAAGCATGCCTCTTATAGAATATCGCGGAACAGATTCCATGGAGATTTTGTTGCCAGGGCAAGCCCTCCAAGGATATTGCCTGATGTTGCTATATCCGCGGTGTGACCCAAACAGTGCCAATTATGCTCAAGTTGGTTTGCTGGCTGGCAGGTGGGCATCGCCTTATGTCATGTTCTTTGGAACTAACGACGCTCGGCCTTTGTGCAAATGAAGTTGAAAGGTGTGAACGGCACTGCTGTGGTGTTGGATGTACTCGGAATGCAAGGAAGCAGAGGCCAAAGAGGAGATGAACCCTGCGGAAGCGCTGGTGAGTCTTTATTTGATGGCACTGGTGCAAGTGAGCATTGGCCTGGGACTGAGATGACTGCACAGATTCCATGATGGAACTGTGAAACATTGTGAAACATCTTCCTCAAGCTGTTGGCAGTGCTTCCACTGACCTGCAGGATGCATCCTGATTGCCTTCATTGACAGGCTAGCTGCAATATATTGGGACTGTTGGGGTTATAATGGATTAAATTATATTATGGCTTCCTGTAGCTGATGAATGCTGATAGCTACAGCAGGAATCTTTTTCTTTGCATTGCTGCAATTTGGCGGAATGTCATCATCTCTGAGCTCAGACTCAGGCGCTTCTATCCCTCGCTCAACAAATCAGGCAGAATGGCGTGAGAGTTGGGGAAGAAGATGATACTGGGTGAAAGCCCTTTCTTGTCTCAGATAGCACTTTGTTGTCTCATCTCGGTGTGCCATGCGGAAGAAGTGACACAACCACTGGAATGAATTACTACATGATTTGTTATTTGG